CTGCATCTCCACCACTCTCCCCAAAGCCATGGCCAATGCGCTCTGGGACACCAGGACCATCTCCTACTCAGGATGTGTTGCCCAGACCTTCCTTTTTGTCTTTCTCATGTCAGCAGAATATTCTGTCCTCACTATCATGTCCTATGACCGCTACGTTGCCATCTGCAAGCCCCTGCACTACGGGACCTTGATGGACAGCAGAGCTTGTGCCACCATGGCAGCAGCTGCCTGGGGCGCTGGGGCTCTCCATGCTCTGCTGCACACTTCCAATACATTTTCCCTGCCTCTCTGCCAAGGCAATGCCATCAATCAGTTCTTCTGTGAAATTGCCCAGATTCTCAAGCTCTCCTGCTCTGGTTCTTACCTCAGAGAAGTTGGGATTATCATAGTTAGTGCCTTAATCTTTCTTGCTTGTTTTGTTTTCGTTGTGCTGTCCTATGTGCAGATCTTCAGGGCCGTGCTGAGGATGTCCTCTGAGCAGGGACGGCACAAAGCCTTCTCCACGTGCCTCCCTCACCTGGCCGTGGTCTCCCTGTTTCTCAGCACTGGCATGGTTGCCTACCTGAAGCCCCCCTCCATCTCATCTCGATCCCTGGACCTGGTGGTGTCATTTCTGTACTCGGTGGTGCCTCCAGCAGTGAACCCTCTCATTTACAGCATGAGGAACCAGGAGCTCAAGAATGCAGTGAGGAAAATGATGCCCTGGTCACATTTGAGCAGGGATAAACTACACATCTGTCTCAACAACTTGTACTGAGGCATCACTGTGCTCTCTTTCTCCTGGAGCCCATAGGAACTCTGGCTCAGTGCTGACTTTCTCACAGCCTCCATGTTCCACCTCTGTGTCTGCAGGCAAATGAGATGCCAGCGAGCACCGTGGAGCTGATATAGGCTTGATTAGCAAATGGGATCAATGTATTAGCCGGTTGAACAATATATTACTTTAGCAGAAGGAATCAGTGTGTGCTCGTGGTAAAACTTCTGTGTTTAGCTTTGACTGGTGTGTGAACAGCCCTGTTTTTATCAATGATCCTGTTTCACAGAAGCTCTGAAATCACTTTTTTGCCTCCACCAGGTGCAAGGACTTGTTCTTGGCTTTGATATAACTGTTTGCACTTACACCGGACCAAGATAGAAAGTTGTTGATTGTGGCAAGACAAGCAATGGAAGTTTGCCAAATTGGGGGGAAAGAGCTAAAAGGTGAGCCAGGGTGCACCATGATGAAGAGGAAGATGAACTAAAGGGGAGGAAGTAGGTGCTGTGAGAAGGAGGACATGTGGTGTCAGGGGCTGTGCTGGGGCCCATCTCTGTACCACTGCACGCATGCTGCCC